AGAAGAATAGAGTTTTGTGAAATCATGTCTCATCGAGTCAATACCATCCCTTATCTTCTGTTGAACATCAATGAGTATTCATTTTTTCTGAATGGCAATGTTAATAGACAAAATTGACGTTATTGAAGTGACAAAAAGCCACATATTTTTGGGAAGGGCATACACAACACCCACAAAAAAATAATGTTTGGGCTGGTATTCTTGGAAATGCCATTATTATTCCATTATTCCTATAAGAAAACTTGACCGGTAATCTATACTTTGAAATGCTTGAAGAGACTATCGATCCACTTATAACTTACGAGTTGAAAACTAAAATGGATGCAGAAGGTAGTGATCTTTTGCAGGAGGATCTGTTACATTTCTAGCAGGACGGTGCTCCACTTCATTATTTCCTTTCCGTCCGACAGTGGTTAAACGAGAGATTTCCGGATAGATGAATTGGCAGAAGGGGAGCAGTTGAAGGGCCTCCGAGATCACCGGATTTCACACCCTTAGATTTATTCCTTCGAGGGCATCTTAAATCCATTGTTCATAAAACATAACCTTCTGATATTGAAGAACTCAAAAAAATAATTACAGCAGCATGCCAGTCTTCGGGCGATGACGACTGTGGATACTAAAATTCGAAACGTCGTGAAGTAACTAGCTTGAAATATTTTAATTTTAATTTCTTTACTTATACAATTTTCAATTGTTGCTTGTATTTTATTTCATTGTAATTAAAATTTTTTGCTTGATAAAAGTGTTATTTTTTTAGCTAAACTTTTTAATTCTATTGATTCTTTCAGGTATTTCAAATGACTTTAAATCATATTATCCAATGTAAGTCTGAACTAATGGAGTTAACCTGTTTATACCTGCCAATCGATTAATTATTCCAGTAAAAAATAGCCAACCCTATGTTTGTATATTCTTTCTATAGGCTCCATACTTTTGACTGGTGTTAAAACAAATGAGTGTAATATTGAAAAAAAATCAGTTTTTGAACTTTTGAAAAATCNTATCTTCTGTATAATTCAGTGTTCATATAGAAGGATTTGTTTGGAAAGAATTTTTTTCTTTCGTGTATTTCAATGTTTATATGAAAGTAGCTGTTTCAGGAGGACTTTCTTTCAGTTTGTGTCTGAAAGTTACTTCTTTGCATGATCTACACATTCACGTGAGTTACTTATTTTCAAATTGATTATTTCCTTCATTTCTTTAGAAGATTCCCTCATCCCTTTTTTGTATCCAGATGAAGTAGTAGAAAGCCAAACACTTTCTTTCCCAAAAATTTATATTATATTAGACAATGGAAGTCCGAACTGATGAAATACACTACGAAACATTGTCAACCACCTTCAAACAAAATTTTTCCAAATATTATCTTCTGCTGAAGTTGTTTTTGACGCATTTAGAATAATTGTTTTGGAATAATTTCAAAAGTTTATAGGACAGTTTGTATGTTCTTATTACATCATATGTTACCGTTTCCTTCTGCTGTCTATTGTGTCATTCTCAACGTTCCATCAGATGGTTTCTTTTTTCTACTTTTAACTTCCCGTGAATTTTTCATGTTCATTACAATCGCATTATTATTACTAATAGTTCCTTCATCTGATCCTACCATTCTGCTGTATTCCTCATCCCTTCTACATATTTCAACATTAAAAGTGGCATCTAAGTGCATTTTTTTCTTTTGCTTTCCATTAACTCTTTTCCGAAATATTTATAATATGTCATGATGTCTTCGTTTGCTCCATACAGAATGATTATTATTTTGTGATTTGAGTTTTCAACCTTCAGTTCAAAAATCATTTTTTCAATTCTATGGAAGTAAAATATTATAAATGTCCCTTTTTTCCCTAGATACATGGAGGAAACGGTTCACAATTGCACTTCAGGGCAATTTTCGAACGGATCTGCGTCGTTACAGCAAAATTAATGTTTGTCATGTTTCAAAAAGTTTCAGGAGTTCAGGAGAGTGAACTGCCTTCTTTAATCGCTCTCACCCCATTCCCCGTCTTTTGGTGATATGGGAATGGCAATCCATTCAAAAGAGATCATACTTAACACCAGCGATATATCAGAAAAAGGTTTGGGTATCTGAAAATTTGGGATCAGTGTCAATTATATCACTTTTATCAACCTGACACGGCAATTTTGCGGACCATTCACTGTTCGAAGTAATTTTTCTCCGTGGATNGAAAATATACTGCTCGTCATATCTTAAGTGATTGTGATGCACTGGATCACAGAAAACCTGCAACTTATAGAAAAATGTTCATTATGTCAAATGTCCATTTGAACTTTTAAATTAAATTATTATCAAACAAAAACAAAGTTCAGATTACTTGGGATCTGTGTATTGGATTGAGGACAAGTTGAGTATCATATTCTTCGGATTGACTGGGACGATTTTGATGAATAATGAGAAATGAAGATGAATTACTTCAAACACAACGTAGTTCCAACTGAATTCGAATCATTTCTCGAATTTACAAATCTGTTTTAAAAATATACTTTGAATTTGGGAAAAAAGCTTTTTGATTTTCATTTCTTAATTTTCATACACTCTTTCAATTTTTGATTTGGATTATGTCATTCCACGGGTCAAGCAATGAATCTTACGTTTTGTTCATCCACCAAACTATTTACCTTTTACTACAGTTTAAAATCTTAACAGCAAATGATCATAGATATTCCCGCAACGTCAAAAAACGACCAATCAGAATATTGACTACATCTAGGTGAATGACCAATATGTTACTGAAACCGTTATAATTCCAGAAGAAAATTCGGATCATGGAAACGAACAAATGCGGAAAGTTATGTGAAATCGATAAAATAATACTTGTAACTGTTATTTTCCAGCAACTTCAGTTTCATGACATGAATCTCAATGCTCCACAGAACAGTGATAAAAATACGGATGAACTAGAGCTGTGTTGTTCGTACTTCTC